TTAACTGAACGTAACCAATAATTGTCGTGTGCTTGAAGGATATAGATCTGTTATGACTGAGGAACTGTATAGGGCAGATGAGCACTGATATCCTCAGGTCTGTAATGAAGTCATGTCTAATAAATGAAAGAAGTGTGGTATTGGAAAGAAAAACAAAGCAAATAAAGTAGTGGTACTTCAGGAATTAGGTTTATTTAATGACAGAAATTAAATAAAACATTATCTATTCCACTAACCATGTCCAGTTTGAGAATTTAAAACCGAGGATGAGGACACAAAGAGGTTAAATTCTTTGGAGTACAGGCCTGTATCTTCAGAGGCTCTTTCATGGACAAACCTCTTTGGAATATTCAACCTTACTTTCTCAGTGGACATCCCCCATAAACCAGCAGTTATCCCACTTGGTGCATCATATAAGATCTTGCTTTATTTTTTCTTATATATCTTTCTCTGCTGTGTCCCAGGGTTGGTTTGTTTTTTTTTTATATTCTACCTCTTCCTTTCCACTAAATGATGTAACTGACTGGTTGACACATTGACTGGTTGACACACTTTGCTTACCCCATGAAGAGATCATTAGGGCCCTATCAGTTGCATAACCTCTGAATGAATGGTAAGAAAAACAGATGGAGCTGAATACTGATTCTATAGATTACAGAAACAAGTCAGGAACCAAAGCAACTACGGTATTTGGCTTGTCTGATGAGCTTTATTCTGTGAATATCAACAAAAGCTATATTGTCTCCACCTTTTACAGTCTAATCTCTTTTTCCCCTTGTCTGTTTTGTTAGAAGTGAAAATTTATCTGTCATTCTCATAGCAATGAATTCAGGATTTAACTAGAGGGCTAACTTGTACTTTTTATTAAGGTAACATGACATGAGAGTATCTTCCTCCTGGGCAGAAATCTTGGATAGGTTTTCATCCAGTCTTTTTGTAAAGCCACTCAATTTCAGTTTTAAAATGCTATGAATTAGTTTTATGTCTCTAATAAAATGATTTCTTAGCTCTCCTGTGAATTTTCTGATGTGCATACTATGGAACTAAGCAGGCTGTTCCATATTCTTGCAGATAGGAGCTTTGTTCAACTGCTTAATGCTGTACGTCAGGGTCACCTCAATTTTGTTGATTTTCTAGTCCTATTTAGCCTATTCAGATAGCTTTACAGTTACACAATAGCCATCAAACGACCTTTGCTATTCATAGTCTCACCTAAATGAAGAAATGCATAGAAGCTGCTATGAAACCCCCCCAAAAAAAGAAAAACTTCTTTTTCAGGAAATTTATGTCTGAATTATGCAGAAGTAAATGCTTAAGGAAGACATTAAACTTCTGGGGCTTGCCAGTCTTTAAGGTTTGCTTCTTACTAATCTTTATTGTTGTAGCAATAGAAAATCTCAAACACCACAAACACCAGGATTCTTAGCTGAGGTGTCTGAGTGTGGAAGCAGGTAAATGTCTCTATAGTGATTTATCTTTGGTGAGGACATTTTTACCGGTCAGTCTAGTCACTAGAAAGGAGGCCAGGATTAGATCTGTTATTGATTTTGTTTTGCTTTGCCATTTTGTCACCAATTGGCAAATATTCTATATTAGTAATCAACACTGTTGGGTACTGGCAATTAATTAAAAAAAAAAAAAGCAGCTGCAGGATTTGAGAGGGGGAAGATATGTCCTGCTTTGTAGATGTTAGAGAGAACAAGCAATTTCTTAACACCTTTTCTTCAAGGAGTTAAGATGAATAACATCTTTGAACAAATATTTCAAGCATGCAGGGATTTTATTAAAAAGAAAAAAGATTAAATCCTGTGTAAATTGTTTAGAACATTCCTAGTGAAGACATGTTGATTAATAAACATGAAAGAGGGAAGATGCATATTAATTTGTTTACGTATAAGAGGCTTCTAGCTCATTAAAAGTCTTCTAAGCATTTAACTAGTGAAGCAGTGGATAAAACCAGACATTGTCTTTAATCTTGTTGAGGGCTCCAATATGAAAAAACCCAGATTATTGCTAAATATGTATAATGACAGCGTTTTGAAAATGTGGGATGTGTGTCAACTCAGTGGTTTTGCTTTAACGTGGTGGAAGTTTGGGTTCACTTTTCTATCTCAATTGCTGGGCCCAGTAGGACTGAAGAAAACTGAACTTCATCAACCACAGTCTTTGGTTCCTGTATATCAATAGCTAGAAGTTCTTGGGTCTGATTTTGCTAGATGTGATTTATGCCTGGTTATCAGCTGGGAGATCTCTAGGAAGGCACAGATGCAGTAGGGTATCAGCTAATGTGCCTCCTGCCTGTTTCTTTTGATTCTCTGCTAAATCACTACTACAAGCTGAGGTATTTGCACTGTTTATTTTAGATGTGCTAAAAAAAAAAAAAAAAAAAAAAAAAAATTCATACTACCTGATTGTCAATGCACTTTTCTTTCTATGTAAGTGCATGTTCTACTTTCACTAAAATCTGTTACAGATTTTCCACCAATTTACCAATTTTAAGGAAGTAAAGGGTCCATTAAATGTGTCACAATGATCTTTTACATAACCTATAACATCACACACCATTTAATCATTTCTTCATTGAACACATAACTTGTGCTTGAACTTTGTTCTGCTTCTTAAAATTTTCAGTATCAATTTGAAGAAATTTCAGGTGATTGTCCACAGTATCCTCATGTAAGCTTTTATGTTGAGTGATATGCTCATCGTTAAATATTCATTCTTGATGTGCTGTTTCAATTTCTCTAACTTTGGCTTTCCAGCCACTGGACACTGTTAGTTGCTTATTCAGATGATATATTCCATATGCGGACATTGAAATATATAGATACTCCCTTTCTTTCAGTAATTTTCAGCTAACATTCAGATCTGTTTTTTATTTTGAGCAATAATGTAATTTGTGAGTGTCTTTTTTGAAGCATGGATGGCAGAATTCACTATTGTTTCTTTGTAATGCTCTAAAAATATTTCATGAAAAGGTTATATCATCCTCCTAAATTCTCTGTGATGTTATTGTGATTATACATGCAGAGAGTTTACTGGAGCTCTGTTAACTACGATACCAAAATGGGACGTCCTTGTTGAACTGGTCATGCACCAGGATCAGTTTCACCTTTCCAGAACACTCTGTGCTGAGGTATAGCCACTTAGTGCCCTCTACAAGTGTTATTGTCTTGTAAGACCTTGCCTTTAGCCATCTAAAAATGCATACTCTTCAAAGAAACGTTATCAAATGACTGGCATTGCCTTACATGACAGATCTGTCCTCCTCCCATTTCTGTCATCTGCAATCTGACCAGGCTTTGTATTTTCTTCCAGATCAATGATATATTTACTGCAAACATGTTGGAAAGATTTCTAGAAAAAATTTCAGCAATGATGAGTTCCTCTCATAATAAATACTTGAAGTCTGTCATTTAAATGTAATCATTTAAATAATTTAATATATGCCCTATTGGTTTTATGTAGTACTAATTTCTAATCAAAATATATGAAGGAATAAATGAAACAATTTAGGAGTGTGTAGTTGCTAATGCAACAGATTTGACAAAGCATAGCTAACAAAAAAATTGTTTCATTAGAATTAATTTTGCTGTCATCCTCTAATTTCAATTCAGTTCAATCGTAGGATGACAAAGCTAAAGACCTTATTGTTATCTGAGCTGTTTATGTATTTTCTCTAAAATTTTTCATAGTGTTTTCTCATTCCTAGCCCTCTGAAACGTTATGTTATTCCAAGACCTATTAAAAACCAGCATCAGTGTTTGAGAAAATACCCTGGACAAAACCAACTTTTTGCTATGCTGTACACTTCCAGTTAGGTACATAAATCTCAGTATAACACAACAGAGTATAGTGATCCAAATAATCGATAATTTTCTGAATCACACAGTCATGTCGGTTGCAAGAGATCTCCATAGCTCATTTAGTCCAACCTTTTGCTCAGAGCAGATCAAGTGAGAGCAGATTGCTCAAGGTCTTTTAAAGTTGAGTTTTGAGTATCTCCAAAGATGGATATCTCACAACCTCTCTAGGTAACCTCTGCCAGTGTTTGACCGCCATCATGGCATAACTACTCGGAGTTTGTGGCCTTCAGATAATTTCAGAGGGTTACCACAGTGTTTTGTCACACTACCAATTTATTTACACTATATTTAATTCCTCTCTCTTTACACGTAGATCATTAACCCCATGACTCAAAATGAGTTTTGCCAGTTCTCTCCCACTTGAAAGAAAGTTTTAGTGCACAGATTTAAGGTTGCCCTAAAGTTGTAATCTTACTGGTGCATACAGGACTGGTAAACCAGTTCAGAAGTGTCCTTGGAACTTCCCCTTGGTAGAGCAATGGACTCTGCAGAGAGGTATGGAGAGGTGATTATGAAGTCTCGAACCATGTAAACTCCCAGACCAACAGCATGGAGCAGTAGGAGGAGGATAGTGCTCTACCAAACTAGCAATGGGAAGGAGTCACCAGATGTCTTGCTTGCAGATCCTCCTATTTTTTAACCATTCGAGTAAATCTCAGTAAGATGTCTGAGAAGTTATTTCAACCACTGCAGCAAGTAGTTTCCACCTTCTTTCTCTAGCATGTAGAAAATGTTAAGTGTATCTTCCTACTGTATTTTCACATAACAGTTTGCGGAAAAGTGCTAAGCCATCAATTCCTGTTGCTTCACAGCAGTCCTGTGTGCATTTCAGTATTTTCTTTTAACATTCCATTGCAAGTGTTACAAAAATAAAACTGCAGCTACATGCCCATGTGCTGTTTATACATGTTCTCTGAAAACTGCGTTGAGGTTGGGATAAGGTAATCTTTGCAGAACAAACAGGAGACAGAAGGAGATACCTGACAGTAGTTGACATACCTTTTATCAGAACCTTCTGACATCCCTGACACTGCAGTGGTCATTCTCATAAATTAAGGGATTTTAAGAAAAATGAATAACGTCAGATTTTCAGTATGGCTGCTTCATAATTTCCTTATGTTCACCCTGTTATAGGTCTTCAGGCCTCGTATCACGCTTCTATGCAACGTGGCTCATCTTTCCAAGCTAGCCATTCTAGTTCAGTCTGTTGAAACTATACCTTGTTATTTCAGTATGTGTCCGTTTCATATATGAATGTTTAATATGTTTTTCTCTATAGAACAGTAACACTATTGATAAGTGAGTATCACAAGTAGATTTTATTTACAAGAATTTATATTTGAGATTGCCTAATTCCTTATGAAAAGCTGATTTGTCCTTTCATCAATAGTGTTTTACAGGGAAAGTGCAATGCTCACTAATTCCTTCTTATACTGAATGTGACACATAAGTTGCTTTATTGGCACTATCTTGTTAAATAAATCATTCTCTTCCTGAGCTACCCTGGCCTTTGCTTCAGTGTTGAGAAAATAATAAGGGGATGGTTTTCATGTCTCAACAGTGCAAGCATTAAGCAGAGTGTCTCCTTCTGAAATTTTTCTCAAAACAACATTTTTTCCTTTTTTTATCCGTTAGTCCCGAGTGCTGTGCCACTTGAATCCATTCAAGGGAGTACCTTTGAAGAGAAGATTTTTCTTCAATGGAGAGAGCCAGCGCAAACATATGGTGTGATTACTTTGTATGAGGTACCTAGCATTTTGCCACGTTTTAATTTTTATGTGCAGTTTTGATTTTCAAAAGGGCATAATTAGTAAGAAATTTTTTTTCCAGTTTATGTAAAATTACTCTTCTTCTTGAAGATAGTAGCACCTACAAAGTAATAAAATCAAATATACAATGTAGGAGTGAATTATGCAGGACCCAAAATGTCCCTGGGTTATCAGCTTTAAGAAAACTGCTATTTTTAGAACCATGTGATAGAGTATTCTATCTAGTAATGTGGATCAAATATTTAAAAGATTGAAAGACACATCTTAGTGAATTTTTAAAAAATAGGAGACATGAAACAGTGGTGACAGTCAACATCACATTTAGATAAGACTCATAACAGGAAGCCTACTGTAATAGAAACAAGCAGGCATAATTTAAAAAAATCTAGCATTTCACAAATGCAAATTCAACAAAATTGTATGTTGTTAGATGTCTAAAAATCGCTGCTTTTTCTCATGTGGAACCTCTGCCTGAATACCTTTTAGAAAAATTGACAAAAGACTGCAGAGATTAAGCTGTCAGACAGTAATCACTGTTAAGCTTCTTACCTGACCTTACTACAAAATCGGTATTGAAATGCTTTGTTTAAAAAAAAAACACTGAAATGAGAGATGATGTAAAAGAAAAGTTAAATGGAATGGTAACCTGTTGATACTGTTTTGAAAACTATTTTATTGTAAGAGGATAAAATGTTATGAAAAAGTATGAATTGATTTTTTAGAAAGCTATTTTCCAGCTAGCTCAACAGTTGCCTGTTTTCAGGGATCAGAACGTTTTAGTTAATATATTCATGTTTTTACTTGATGTTAGGCTTTATGTACATAGAAACACACAGTGGTGAATCGTCTTTCTACTTAGGAACATGCATGCATGTCTCATTATATTGCTGAGGCATATATGCACTGTATACATGCAGTTCATTCTTAAATGTATATACATACAGAACTCCATCAGCTCTAATGGGAGTATTCAGAGATGGAGAAGAATATCTTGGCAAGAATTTCTGAGGTAGTCATGACTGCGCAGGTCTGAACATCAAAAGTATTCCAGCAGTAAAGAGAATATTGAAAAGAAAATTAAATACTGCTATCTCCTTACACTATCTAATACACCTCAAAGCACAGACAGAGGGAGCCAGGCAATCAGTTAAATCAGAAACTTGATTTAATTAATTTTTAAGTAAAAGGTACCAACAGACTGATGCAACCATCCCATCCCTTGTTTTTAAGATGCCAACCCAGTCCAGTCAAGTGGCTGATTATGAACACACGTCCAGTTGCTGAAAGCTTGTTTGTCAATACTTTTTCTGCCCTGATGTTTTCTTACAAGCCTAAAATGTATCGCAAAGCTTTAATAAATATCACTGGTAAACTACCTGGAGGTGAGCAAATATACACAGTGAATCACAGGGACATCTTACCTAATTTAAATGTGTACTTCAGGTGAAATATAAATGTATACTTCAGGTATATTTTAGGTAACTGAAGTAGCTCACAGGATAAGAACCAGACAAATTAGATGAAATTTAGGTACCTATGTTTTATAGGTTGATTTAGACTATCCATGATGTCTCAGTAGGCACCTCTCTGGCTGATTGTTTTACTGTCTGGATAATGCATCCAGCACAGCACCAGATCATCCAAGCTTGAGAAGTGAGGTGTCTAGCTCCTGCCTACACTTTGTGGCAAGCCAGAGCTTAGCCAGAGAATCATCTAGGTCTTGGCTCTGTGTACATAAACGATTCTCATCTAAAAAGCATATCCACTAAAGGTGCTCTTATACAAACATAGGGCGTATTTGGTATGTTCAGAGAATGGCCTAGCCGATGAGTGCTAACCTAGTAAGAGGGAAGCCTGCGTAGGGGATGTTTCAGCCTGAGGGATTCCCCAGTTCATGATAACCTGCCTGCAGGGCAGTGACTCAGGTGAATGCTCCTTCCATACACCTGTCACCCGCCACTGGGCTGTGCGCAGCCAGAGGTGAAAGTATTGCAGTGCCAGGAGGAACGCAGCTACGAAAGTGCCAGGTACTTTAGAGTTGAAGGCACGCAGTTGGGTGAAGCAAAATTGCAAGTATGTAAGCCTGAGTCAGACCTAGGAGCAAGGTTGCTCTTTCCAGGGCAAGCTCTTCAGCTGGTAGCTTTTTTTAATAGGAGCAGCCTTAAGACTACAGCAGCAGACACCTTCTTTCAGCAGGAGGTCCCAGGATCTTGATCCCAGCAGGTAGATGAACTTAATGTGCAGTCCTGAGTCTGTATCTCTGCTCCCAGAGAAAAAAGCTCAATCTTGTCTCCTTGTCTAACATTTCTTACTCTGGTACCTAACTTTCTAGGATGTTAAAAATCTCATAACTTACTCTGTTTTCTGGGGCCAAGCATTTGTTTTTAGTGCCTGAAGGAGACAATCTTCTAATTGTGGGAAAAACTGTGTGTTGAGGTATCAAGTATTAAAGCATTAATTGCTATTGTGAAATTAAGTACAAATCCATTTTTTAACCAATATTTAAAGGAAAAATCCTTTAGATTAAGAAATGTCATAATGACAAATTACATCTTTTTGCTTCTGTATCACCAGTACGTGTCCACAGTTGTAGGAATAAAGGGATTAGTCTTTTGGGCAATGTTTTATCTAAATTTGATAAAACTAGTCAACATCCAGTGAGAAAATTCGCCTCATGCCTTTTTTTTTTTTCATCACTGCAAAGCTGTGCTGGTGTTAGCAATGGTGGACATAAGAAATTTTTTTTTTTTTTTTGAAGTACAAACAGTCTTACAAGTAAGAGTGAAATATAGAAATGGAGAAAGTTTGTTTTAACCAGGCAAACCACTTTTTTTCATGTGTTCTAAATAATCCATGGAAGAACTTACTTCATTATGGAATATCAGCCACTTAGCTGTCTAATAACTAAACACAGCAAAAAATTTATAAGAATCTAACGTAGACTGCAGAGTCTCCAATAGCCTGGTATTATTTTGAATAAAATTTAAGTGAGGTTTTGCAAAATCCAGTTAAGAACCGTAGAAATATAGAAAACAGAGCTGCAAGAAGTTCACATATCTGCTGCAAAACAGGATCAGCTATATATAAAAAATAGATGCAATGTAGTTGTCAATCTTGTCTTTTAAAATCTCCAGAATATGTTATGACCCACTGTCCCACAAGTAGACATAACATTTCCCATCAGAAAGAGAGATTCTTTTGGGCAATATGTAACCTTAATTTCTTTGTGATAAAAGTTCATATATTTGGTAATGTAATCTTCTTCTGTTATATTTAGGAGGGTTAGTTGAGCGGATTTTAATGCACTTTCAGTTCAGTTTATGGATGAGGAGTCTTAGAGGATCTGCCTGTATCTACCAAGATAATGCTGGGGTTTTCTAGATGCTATCAAAGTTTTTATTACTAATTTTCAGCACTTTATTGATGTTATATTAGATGGGTCATATAAAAATCAATTTTCATTAAGTCAGAGGTTTTAGGAAAATGCAAGTGTTTAAGGTATGCAATGCCAACGCTTAGATGTTTCTGTGTATCATTTTATGGTCTTCTTAATTATAATTATATCAAATATATATAGCAAAAAGAATGTCAATTATCATATTATATAATGAGTGTTGAAATTATTCGCATACAAATGAAACTTTAAAAGTAAAAAGGAGGGATGAATCACTTCTACTTTTTAATTTTTTAATGGATTTCTTATTTTTAAATTCTCATTACAGTGCATGGAAATTAGTAATTAATAGAAGAAATCTGGATCATGTTTTACTGTGAACTTATATTAATGTTTCTATTGAAAACTAAAAATACTGTTTGAATCAAAGAAGTAACTGAGGGTACAGTATACATTCTGCATATATTACTTAACATTTTATCTCTCCCTTCCTCCAAATGAGAATCTGACCTAGGTACAATCTAATAACCTGAAAAATTCCAAATTAGCAATTACAATAGTTAAACTTCAGACTAAAATATAAGTTTTATCCACTTTCTGAAAAATTTGCCTTAAGCTGCCCTTATCATTTTTTACAGATAATCTTATTCAGAGCAAACTGTAATTATAGCGAAGTCAGCTGGAAATGGGGTCTATACCTTCTGTTATTCACTTACCTGTTTTACCTGGTTGTTTTGGTTTTGTTGTTGTTGCTGCTCAAAACCAACAGTAACATGAATTCAAAAAATGACACTGTTAAAGCCAGCATCTTGAAAGAATTAATGTAAGCCTGAACCCATCCTTTAGAGTTGTAATCTAGCTGCCTCTAAGTCTCTCTATCTATAAAAGTAATAACTCATACCAGTTATGGCTGAGTTTCTGTGTCTCTTCGTGGGATTCAGGATTTGAAGAGTATAAGAGTAAGATAGCTTATCATAAAATGTCTGACAGCGCATACATCAGGAGGGTTTACTGGATAAAGATGCAATCTCTGTCCATCTGCTCAAGGCAGTTTATAACTTCCTTATTCTTTTGCAGATCACCTACAAAGCAGTCAGTTCCTTTGACCCAGAAATAGATTTATCCAATCAAAGCGGACGAGTCTCAAAGCTAGGAAATGAAACACACTATCTCTTTTTTGGACTGTATCCTGGAACTACCTACTCCTTTACCATCAGAGCCAGCACAGCTAAAGGCTTTGGACCTCCAATCACAAATCAGTTCACCACTAAAATATCAGGTACTCGATTAAAGAATATTGTTGTTTGCTTATAATGACATGAGTAATTCTTTTGTTGCTTACTTCTTCTTTAGGATTTAACAAGCGCTAAATTGAAAACGTAAAATACATGTTCTTCCCTGAAGATGTCAAAATGACATATGTTAACATATCTGAAAAACTTCCAAGTGCTTAAATATCAGCTAGTACTTTGAAATTCCTGTTCACAATTGTAACTTATCACCCAAGAAACCCTATGAATTATGTGCCTGCAGTGAGTGCCAGCTGCTGTTGCAACATTTAGCATAGGGTTTTTTGGACATGAGGATGAGGGTTTCATTCAGAGCTTAGTCAGCCTTGACATGATTCTAAATTAGTACAGTAACGGTGCTGGAAAATCTCTTTAATGAGCCGTGAACAATTGAGAGTAGAGCAGAAATACTGTATGTCTAGCACTCGCTTAGAAAGTGCAGCTGACTGCCAGCCTGCGTATGTTCCTAGCAGGCGTGTGGACTGAAGTGGATATGAAACTGTATTAGACAAGAGTATCAGGACTAGGGGTTTTCAGATAACGGCAGCATGACTGTCACTTCTGCAGATCCATGAACAATATTTTAAAGCCCTCCCAGAGGCAGAGGAACACTTCATTGCTCTAGCTGATGCGATGCAATACTCTTATATCCTCTAAAATTCTTATGAAATTGATGACAAAATGTTTTGCGAAGTTACAGTTGAAATCCCTTTACTCTTCTCTACAGTCTTCTTGGGAATTAAACTGACAGTTGAACTACGACCCCTTGATAATATTTATAGAAAAATTGCCTTACCTGTTTGTGGTCAACTTGCTTTTTAGAAAAGATAAAGCATTTGGGTACAGAATCTTCTTTCTCTTTTACTCTCATTCTGCGTACTTTTCCCCATCACTTGTTTTCTGTCCTCACCGAAATGAAAAAAAGTCGCAAGAGTTAGTCAGAAATAGAGCAATTCCTTTTTTCTTGTTATAGAAAAGGGTAGTTAATGCGAGGTGGAAATAACTGCAATACAGATGTTTGTAGAGGAAAAAAAAAAGTTAATTTTAAAGTCAGAAAATTATTCTTTAGAGGAAATCTAAACATAATTAACACTGATCAGTAAAGATAGTGTTCATTTTCCATCCCCTTTCCTATACTGAGCAGAAACTTTGTTAGAAATCAATTTCTGACACAGCAAGACTTGGTATGAGTTAGGATGGCAGAATCAGCCCTTATTAGAGTGGGAAAGGAAGGAGACTGTTGAGAGTGGATAAGAATTTGGACATGTCAGAATAGTGCTGGATCTTAAATTGTTGTTATTTTCTAAATTTGATATGTCACCAACTCAAACTCCTTAATGTGAACAGACGTTGCAGGCATCTTGGGAATCAGGCTAAACTCCAACCTACCTCGTAGCAAGCTGTCTCGTCTGCACCCTGCTCTCTCATTACTTCATGTTAGTTACTCTGCTAAAAGGGAATGTTTATGACTTGTCCATGAGAAGTTAAAGCCAATCTCTTGATGAATTTAAAATAGGAGCAGAATGTGTACCTTTCTTAGTATCATTGAAAAATCACAACCGAAATTTTAGCTGTTGATTATGGTAGCCTCTTTTCAGTGCTATTGGCCTGTGATCTCATTGTCTCACTGTAGGACTTGGAGGCTCTTGATATGTCCAGTGCTCTCCAATCTGGGGAGATGTGAAACAATACTGCTGAACATTTATGGATGAAAGGTTTTACTGTTTTTTAGAACAGATGAGGTGGCAAAAGTGCATTCTGACCAATTTCTGAATTGAGTTACTGCATTTTACTTTGTCTAACTCTAGACTGAATTTTCATTTGAATAAAATACTCTCAATTTCCTAAGTGTTAGAGTAGTACTGTTCTGCACTGTAAATAGTTGCCATGTTTCATTCTACAGTTGTGTGATTGGCACTGATGGATGAAGTGATCTGTATGTTAATATGTATTACCAAAAGCAGAGCTTGTAGCAGTGCATGCTATCAAAATTGATGGGCACTCTATTAGAAGACTGTTTTCTGTTGCATATAATTTATGAAAAGTCAGCTGTGCGGCCTGAAATTTTGTATGCTGCCTTTTATGCTAAGAAGAATTTCATCCATTACATTATGAACGAATCTAGTGACTGGTACATTGGCTGAAGTGCTTTCAAACAGGGATTTGAATATTTAGCAAGGAGATGTTACTCTGAGCCATTACTCTGAAAATCAGTCCAGATTTGGGCAATTTGTAAATGTTGCAGTTTGCACACGAACGGTAGAAAATTGACAGAATTGAGCAGCAAATGTCGCCATAGATGCCATACTCGCTAAATAGATTTAAGTTCTCCAAGCTTTTGGAGCCTAGCCTGTGTTCATCAACTCAGTGTGGCCCAACACATAGAGAGTCTCTACAGGCCTTGCCTTCTAGTGCATCTGAGCTTTCTGCTGATGAAGACCAGGGTGTGCAGTTGCAAAAAATGTGAACAGGCATGTTTTCTCTGTTTACTGGTAAGATCCATCTTTACATGTGAGCAGTGTGGAGAAGAAAGAGTGCTAAGATAGACAGGAGGAAACTTTAAGAATAGATTATAACCCAAGTATCTGTGGAGAAGAGAAAAAGTACCCAGGACTAAAAGGTGGGACTGGGAGAACCAACCACAACTCATATCCTGTACAAGAAGACAATTTTGGTGGAGGGAGACTAAGGTTAGTAAAGAGTGCAAGTAGGGACCTAGGAGTCATAAATAAAGAAGATTACAAGACTTGGTAAGATGTAGGCTGGAGACCAAGAGCAAGAAATTACTCTTACAGTGTTCCAGAAATGTTCAGAGTTCGTACAGCTTTTTGGAGATGTAGTTACTCTGTGCTTCCCTCATTTTCAGGATGGTTAGCATGAGAATGGGGCATTATGTGAACAAGTTTTGGATATTCAAAACTGTAGAACTGAAATATGTGAAAATTGTGTCTGAATCTTTGAAGTACTGTGTAATACTGTGCCTTTAGGCTTCTTAAAGTGGGTACCCATATTACTTAAAGTGGGTACCCATATTACTTAAAGTGGGTACCCATATTACTTAAAATGGCTAGTCTAAATGTTTGTACATTATATCCAGGATTGTAAACAGAATAAAACCCGCTCAGCTTGCAATGAGGTTTTTGAAGATTCATTTTCTTATTTGTGAAGCATTTCAAGACTGAAGAATATCAATGAAAAGCGAAGATGTTGTTAATGTTTTCACAGCAGACTGAAGAGTTGTGGACAAAAGTGTTAATGCAATCTTTACTTCAAAACATAGGGAAATATGGAGAGAGAAGTTAATATACTTTTCAAGTAGATGCAGCTACTGCTGGGAAGGTGAAAAGGATTGGAAAATACACTTGAAAGAAAGACTCCCATTGTTGGAGCTATTTTATTTGTTAGAGGAGCCTAGAAGTTGGTATTATCTCTTTGTGGAGCTTAATATACTCTGGGTAGATTCATCAGTGTGGTACACAAAGTATCCAGTGGTTGGAAGATGAAGCTAAACAAATTGAGATGCCATATAGGTCCCCATGTTCAACATGAAGTATAATTAGCCATTGGAAGAACCTGCTAAAGAAAAGATTTTCTCCCTTACCAAACATATTTTCTTTTTCAATCAGGAATTAGTCTAGGGAAGTTCACTGCCCTGAATTATTTCTGTGGACAGAAGAGGTCATTGCACTGATCGCTTTTTGCTTCTATAGCCTTTAAATCTGTTAATTGTGTATCATCATTAACAACTGGACAATAAAGATAAAACAGACTGCTAACCAACCAATTAACTGAGAAGACTTCCATCCAAGATAATGATAAAAATGTGACTAGATGATAGCACTGAAAATGTAGCAACAGTACAAGACAGTAACTGAGGCATTGTTTGTTTTAATCACGACTGTAATTCCTTAATGAAGACACAGTTTGCAAAAGTGCTATTGAGTGTGGCTTCAAACTAGGATAAGTTCTCATGGTGATAATCTTGCTTCTTTATTGTAAATTATGTCTGTGGTGGACAGACCCAGGACAGTTACAGCACTAGTTAAAATTCCAGGAATGAAAAATTCTGAGAATGCATCTTAATACCACTGACATAAGGAGAAAGCTGGGCTCAGTTTCAAAAACTACTGTCACTTCAGCATGCACATTTACAGGTACTCTGCTTGAGGTAACTTTTAATTTCCAAGTCATGGATTCTCAATCCTTTCTGCAAACTTACTCTTACTAGTATCAGTTTCCTGTCTTGAATCTGGCAGTGATCTGCGATTTCTTTGGTTGTTTGGTTGGGTTTTTTTCTGAAGTTATTTAACAGTTGTCTCACACTTGTAACAGAAAGCATCTTAGACCGATAATATGGTCTTTATATTTGAAGAAGTCTTTAAAATTACCCATTCAAATAAAGATACAGCTCTTGAAAGAGGAAATACAGGAATAATGATTATTTTTGCCTCTTTTCTTATTCTAGCACCGTCTATGCCACCGTATGAACTTGAAACACCTTTGAATCAAACTGACAGCACTGTGACAGTCTTGCTGAAACCTGCACAGAGCAGAGGTGCTCCTGTCAGGTATTGGGGAAATATCTTTATAAAATTAAAACCAAATTGATTAATTTCTTGAACATGTTTTCTGGGGATTTTCTACACAGCAATCAGTGTCTAAATTCATGTCTGTATTAGCTCTAATTAAATTAAATAACTGAAGAAAATGAAAGTGCTTTGATGTTGAGTGTTCGTGTATTGTTTAAAGGATTTGATCCAGATGCAAGTGGCTTGTTCTTTGAAGATAAGGAACAAAGCCATAGTTCTGTTGCGTGGGTGGCTTCTTTAAGGTAATTGCTTACTGCAGTGTTATAAGTTCAAGGGCATATCACATTTTTTATGCTGAGCTACTGTCTTTAATATTCACTCTTTTTGTTTACTTCACAATTTAAGATAATCAACTCTAAGTAAGCCAATTTAGACAATATGTGCTATAACATTCATAAAGTATTTACATTTAATTGACCATGATAGCAAAAATAGAAAAAAAAAAAAAACAACAAACAAACAAAAAAAAACAGCCGGAAAACCAGTGGCTCAGATTCTTTAATGTTATATAGTACCTATTAATGAATTTCCAATTTGCAGATGTTTATTTCACTGCTAGTTACACAGTACTGTGTAAGTCCTTCATTAATTAGAATAAAAGATGCCTACTTTTCACTGAAGAAAACAGAGGAATGGAATGGTTAGATAATTTTGAATGAGAACCAGTTATGAGCTCAGTACTCTGAATAAATGGAAATACAGTTTAGAGAAATACAGATTTTTCAGAGGTTTAAGATGTTTTTCCTTTTGGCTAATCATGTATCATCAAAAATGTTTAATTCTTTTGTTACTGTAGGAAGGGTTTCCTCATAATAGTGAATGACTATAATGTTTTTCATTGTGATGCTAAGGTATTTTGTAATTTCTGTTTGTCTGGGAAATACAGATGTGGTGTACTCATATATGCATAAATGAAAACAAATGTTCTTTGGATTTCTTCAGAATAATCAAAGTTTCATTTAATTAGTTTTTTTTACTATGCCATATATTCATTATTGAATTAGATATTATACTTCTGTAGATCTGCATATAGGAAATGCCATTCTGTTGGTCTTTCAGACAACTTTTTAAAAAGACAGTGTAACACTTTGGAGAAGTTTGAACCAGCTGAGAAAAAAACAGAAAACAATTAATACAGATTTAATGAAACTTTTTGATGTAGCGGATTAGGTTAGAAACAGAATGATTTCATGTTTGTCTTACTTTATCTCACAAAGTGTAGTTCTACTGAATTTAACCATCTGGATTAAAATGATACTAGTTGGATTATCGTTGTTAAACATATTACACCAAAAAAGTTTAATTCCTTTTATCTACATTGTGAACTGAAGATGATTGACTCCTATAGCAGTAGTGACAAGTCAGAAACTTCACCGACAATAGAAGGGAGCTAGTTAGGAAGCTAAAGTGTGCCAAATAAGGGGATGGGTGGTTCGAAAAATAGTAGGAGAGATTTAAAGTAACATGAAGCTATAGAACTGACAGATGAACACACAACAGCAAATTTACCGAGGTCCTTTGCAAGAGGTCTTAAAATAAAATTAATGCTGGCTGCAAACTCAGAATGTAAATACTGCGTCAAGCACAGAGTAAAAATTAAAGTAAGAATTTCTGAATACTTTCAATATTTTGTTGTACGTTACACTCTGAAGCACAGTCATTGCATAGCTTGCAGAATACATTCTGCATATGGATTTTATCATCTTAATCTGTATTCACTGGGTGTTAAAAGTTTAGTCATACTTCATTTATGCACACCACTAAGCAAGATGCCTTGTCTATCGATTCTGATACAACTACTGGCTTGGTTAATGCAGATTTTTGAAACTGCACTAAACTTGCAGTGTAAATGATTGTTGTTGTTTTATTGATCAACACATCAGCCATGTCACATAACATTTTTTAATTCCTGAGATGGATAAAGAGAGCACAAATTCTACCATTCAAGTCAACAAAGCTAATACCTGAGGTCATTCAGAATTCCAGCTTTTTTCTGTAATTAAATTATTTTTCTCTACTTTATTATGAAAAGTCTTGATATCTTGTACCTTATTTAGAATCCACACACAACAACCACAACTTAAAGAGAGAGAATAAGCAATGCTGATTGTTTAACTGTTGCTTCAAAAAGCAGACTTTATGGAAATGTTCAGGAAACTCTGTTTACAATGATAAAGCACACATTAATCATGAAGGCCAAATGGCATTCCATGTTGTTTTAGAATTAGTAAGACTAGACATGATTAAAATGTATTTTCTCAGAGTTTTAATACAACAAATACTGCTTGCTTTGTCTTCAATTTCAGGTCCAGCATGTTTATGGCTCTTGCTATATTTATCTCAAGGAGATTATTTCAGAATTATATATGTTTAAAGCAGTAATGCATTCAGTAATGATGAATGTATGCACTTCTTTAACATCTGGCCAAGCTATTTTGATTTTTAGAATGCTTGTAATTTGCAAGGCCTTTTTTTTTTATATATTTAAGATGATGGCTCTGTGGACATGGTGTAATATATGTCTTATTGTGGATATTCTCTTTTTTTCCAAAGATATGTGTATGTAAGAGTCAGTAAAGTTTTAAAAAATTTGCATGAAAAGCATACAAATGCAAGCATTTTTTCTGTGAGGGCTCTTCATCTGTTGAGGGACTCACTCTTCCAAGGCAGTATCATTTGTACCTTTTACTTCTTTGGGCCCAGTTAGCCTAAAGTTTAAAACATGCTTTAGCCAAATTGTCTGCAGGTACGTAGATTGGTCAGTTCCATATACATCGACTAAGGAATGCTGATACATTGCAAAGATCTGGCTCATACAGACATGAAAAATGTAATGCTCAGTGACTGCATGTATTTAGCGATATTTATGTATTCAACTGTGTCAGAAAGAGCTTTAGATTGTTTGCCGCATTCCATTATAAGAGTTTCTTGTGACCTTCTCAGGAAAAGTTTTCCTGCAAGCTTTTAGCTTCAGCACAGAGAAGCAAGTTTTCTTTGTTGCATAGATTTCCATTCAGTCTTGCCACGATAAAGCTTGAGTGTTTCCACTTCTTTAATCTCGCTTACATAATCATCAAAATGCTGTCACCATACCACCCCCATCCTGCTATTCTGTGCCACATCCTCAAAAAGCCTTAACAGTAAACATGCCAAAGATTTTGTCCCAGGTAACAATGGAACCACTTGGCAATAGCAAGCACTCTTGAGATCAGCAGACTGGGGAAAGGAGGAAAAAGGATAAAAAAGAAGGCAAGACCATCCAGATTCTACTTTTCTTCCTGGTCTCTTTTCTTTTCCAACAGAGAGTTTGGAACAGCTGGATTTGCCCCTTTAAACCCCTCTAATTAGTAATCATGGACCATTCAGCCACCCTGTCTACATGAGGAGACACCACACACAGTTGGTGCTTTCCTCTTTCAGTGAAAACTGAGAGGACAGGAGGGCCAAGCATATCAGCTAGCAGTGCCCTGTGGGTGCCACACTTGGTGTTTAGGATGCCAGAGTATTTCCTGCGCTGAGTCTGTGGGAGCAGGCCAGCAGCACCTGGGGCTGCAAAGCCCAGGCAGGATGAGAGAGAGAGAGAAAGAGAAAATTGCAGCAATTTCCAAGTATTATAATTTAAAAGTACCTTAAAGAAAACCTGCAGAAGGAAGCAAATAAACTTTGAATTACATGAGTTGAAAGCTTGAGAGCGTGCTAGAGTGAAGGCAGTCTCTGTACTCTCAATGCATCCTCTTTATCATCAGTGTGCCCAACTTCTTCAGCATGCATAAATAAGAACAACTCCACTGGGAAAATAAAGCAAATATCTCTTTGCTTGAAGTGCTTAATTTTGAAACGTACTTTTAATCTCTCTTCCCTGAAGAAGTAATGTATATTGTATTTCAGCCCAAAAGGCCATATTAAGTATTTTGAAGTGTGGTTGAAAACTACCATAGAAATTTCAAACTACATGTTATCTAAAGTGATAAGCACTCCTTTCTACTACTTCATCAGATAAACATTTCATGATGTGTTTAGATTGTCTAAATTCCACAGAGGTTTACAATTTCTTATTGGCCTAATCCCAATTTTTAAAGGCACCCTGTAAATACTGGGTTCATTGTCACAGGTGGAATTAAGGCCATCTGCACATGATCCCTGGGGTAGGAACAGCATGATTTAAAGGAAAATGGATGGTCTAAAGAAACCTTTGTCATACTAAGTCAAGGGAGTACTTCCTTTTATACATGTCTTAGCCATTTCAGCGACATTCATAGCAGAATGATTCATAAATGAATGACAGAGGACACCTAATTCCTACCCATTAGACTAGTAGTAGGAAAGAGTAACTTAAACTGAGGTGGTCACCTTTGAAATACAAAGACTCATATGCAATGCAATAGTTTCCCACTGGAAACACCATGAAGCAGAGGTCATAATTGCCTTCCCATCCCTGCCATACACATTGCAAGGTAGGAGACATGTCTTAGGGCCTCATCTCTTTCTTCCAGCATGACTGATGCCATAAGGGTCAGCCTTCTACACATCTGGCCACCCCTTCTGCTTTGTCTCTGTGTCTACTCACTTTCTCATAGTCTGGCAGCAGAAGTTTGCACTCCTTGTGCCCCATCAGTTAGGGCATGCAGTACTGTTCAGGCTCTTCCATAGGAAGAAATTGAATTATCTGAAGCCTGAGAGATATTTTGCAGGACCTTTCAATCTGACAGACAGCCTTCTAGAGAAGCCACTCCCTGCCTTACTTACCATCTTCACAAAAACACTCACCTGGTCAACAGATCAGCAAATTAAATTGTTTCACTGGAAATCAAGAAATCCAAACAAAAGCTAGCACGCTAGCCAGGCTGTTTGGAAACCTGTGGCAGATATCACTGGAACTCAGAAAGCAGCAGGGCTTCAAGTACTCTGAATACGAAAGTTTCAGGTTATTTTCCAAAACCTTGAAGAGACCACGGGGCACTTGCATTGCTGTTGTGAAA